ACCACAAAGATGTATTCTGACCTGAGTCCATGATATCTTTATCAAAGCTTCCATTAAATTAAACAGGTTTAAAAATTTTGTGATCCTATTCCTTTTATGATAAACCAAGCCATTTAAATGTGTTAAAAGATTCTTATGCATAATGTCCGCACGAAATAGGGTAGTCAAAATACTCTTACATTCCGAATCAGAATACTCGTAATAAGTAAGGCCACTCCGTTTCAGATACCAATGAAATAGTTCACTTTATTCATTATGGCTAATAATAGATTACCTTATTAATGTTTAGTGAGACATTCACAAAAATTAGGATTATAATCTGAAATTTGATGTAGCAATTTATACAAAGTTAAATATGCATAAGAATTAATCCATAAGTTAGTCATGACTCTCATACAACAGGGCTAAGCTTACAGTAAAGCTGGTTTTTTTAGGTCTTCGCAAAGAACAATGCACTATTAACCTTTAGTTATAAGCGGAAATTTCTTGGTAAAGGTAATTTAAATAAACTTACCTTACTTGATTACTCATAATCTATCATCTTGGTTTACTTCCTTTTATTTAATAGAGGGATACAATTAGTAGAAGTTGAGTAGAATATAGTACACGAATTAACTATGCATAGTACTGAGTTAAAGCTGGTTGAAATCTTGATTTCGATAAGCAATGTGTATCTAGATGTAGGTTGTCGTTTCTTATGCCTTTAAAATAAGTTCAGTGTGTTACGTAATTCAGAGTGTTTTCGGTCTGCATATGCAACTGTAGGTGTTATTTCATTTGGTAGTTTTGGATAATTTCTTGTGCTCTATCTTATTCGAGCTATAACACGTCTTCTTAATCAAAGTTATTCACTCTGTCCATTCTCTGCACTAATTTAAATCAAATATTTTTTACACTAAAGCCCTAAATATAATCAAAAAAATATGTACACATAAGCAAATATCTTATAAGGAATTATTTTTGCTCACTGACTTTCTGCATAAAATAAAAAAATATTTATTTTTATTTCTTTAAAATATTTTTGATATGGAAGAAGCTTTCACGGATAATCAAATAGACTTTATTAATAAGGGATTATAAGCCTTAAAAAGAATGCTGATACTCTGGAAAATTAACTATAAAATAGAGAACATAATAAGGATGAGAGCAAAAGATTATTTTTCGTATTTAAGTAGAGTTTCGAAACTACCAGTAAAAGATTACAAGAAGTCCAATAATTTCGTATAACAGAGAAAACAGCTAAATCACTTAGATTATTTATAAAAAATACTATCCTAAATTGTGACCTTGATTTGGTTTTACTCTGGCTTACTATTTGCTTTAACTCGTTCCCATAAATCAAATCAAATTGGAGTGAATATCTCGAGAAGACTCTTTATATGCGTTAGGCATCATAAGTCTTATATTGCGTATGGCTCTTTGGATTGATTTTCTCGAATATGCGCGTAACTGGGCAGGCGGTAATCCATTTACTTTGGTGACTTTGCTTAAGCCCGCATATACTAGACCATAAATGTAGAACATTTAGTAATTGGCGCACATTATAAATCTACTTTTGCCATGGGATTTGCTTATTTTCTTGCTTGAGGGATTGTATTTTTTGCAGATTTTGAAGAAATCGTGATTATCAGATATCAAAATATAGTATATATAATAATTCGGGTCAAACATGAGAGTTAAATATGAGGACACAACCGTTAGAATGCTGTCTAGAACGTCGAAAAAATATAATTGCAGCTTTTGGTGAAGCTACCATAAAAATACTTATTGAAATATGATGCATAGGAAATAATTAAGATTCCGATTTATGCTTTTATTAGCTTAATATTTGAACAACCTATATAGAGACCTTATTCCAGCTTCATTGAGTTTTTTAATAAAATATTATTAAGCAGCCTATTTTTTTTATAGATTCAAAATAAATAGGGATACGTATTTTCAGTCTAATCATCTTGTTGCACGATCTTAGAAACCCTGACTGCTATGCAAGCATAAATGTATGCATTAGAATATCAATTTATATAAATCTGGTGCAAAGATTAGATTGCAATTAAATATATTCATAGTTAGCAAGTTTTGAGGCTGCGTGTAGATCTTAAATAAGATAAATCCACATCCTAGATCACATGATATATGTATATAAAGGTTCATTTATTTCACGTTTGTCTATATCTGTATTGAATTTCACCAAAGCATACGTATGTATGCATGTTTGCATGCAGCATGAAACAGAAACAAAGCGGACAACAAGGCTTAAAAACCTCACATTTGACCAAAGGAGAATTAACACTACGATTACGAAATATACAACCTAGTGCGGCTGAGTTAATTTGCATTTCTAAACAAATTGTAGAAATTTTGATATCAATTAGAACCAAGGTCAACAATAATTTAGGTGAATCAGTCTGTCTTAGAATGCAGATAAACACATCAATAAGTTCTGAGTGCGCATTTTTAAGAAATTTTCTTCCTTATATATAAATGATTCCGTACTATATTGTTGTTCGTGTCTATTCCAATTCCCAGTTTTGCGACAAATATACAACGGTCTTCAAGCAATGTGTTAGTAAACGGCATTCTGGGATTTAATCTTATCGTTGGGTGAAAATTAAACCATCGTTTTCATCAACATCATAACCTCATACAGACTATAGGGAATAGGGCTCTAATTTCAGGTCTACCTAAGGGTTCCATGTTCTTTGAGTCAACCCCAGGAATATTGGATGAGATACATCAAATATTCATGAAACATATTTAAAAATGTCGTTTCAAAACGCTAACCTTTGTGTTTCCTGTTTCCTCTTGCTCTTGCGTTTGCAGTGTAGGGGCTCCACTTCAATGCCACTTGGTAAGCTTTGTTGTTCATATCCTGTTTGCTTAACTCTCGATTCCTCCATAGTGGCTGGAGTAAACGACGCATCCTTAGTCCGCTTTTCCATCCTTTTCTCTTCCATCCTACCCAGATCAATCTCATCCCAACTCTCTTTTTCTAACCTCTCTACTGTAGCTTTTCTCCTGCAAGTTCTAACTTTGTCATTTTCTTTTACCGTAAAAGCCCCTATTCGGGTCATGTCGCCTGCCTGACTCTGACGCTGACGCAATCGCTGCTCAGTTCTCAGTTCATTTGCAATTGCCTCTCGGCAGCCAGGACAATGTATCGCTGAGAAGTCTAATTCTGAACGTTGGTTAGATTTTCTCCCCATCGAAGTTGCATTACCCAACAGGCGATCAGGATGCTGTTTGCTCACGGGTATTGTAGGCCTTCCTGCTTCAATATTCACAGTTGACAGTCGAATACCACTATGGCCTCGGGATCCATCGCCACTAGAGGCCTTCTCCTCCTCGTTTACACTTTCAGGTTGGCTATGAGGCTGCACAAGCGAGGATATCTTCTCTGACATTATTTGTGGAGTTTTATCCTTGTCCACATGTAGTCTCCTTCGAGGTGGTTCAACTCCATGTGATTCTCTGATTGTGGGTTTATCAGCCGTCCAGAACTGCTGGCCAGCTTGGCTTTCCTCATTTCCTAGCAAATCGAGCATTCCCGGCTGCGCCTTTATCACACGGACACGAGGTCTTCCTGACTGGCCTGCCAATATGCCTGAGGCGCGGCCACTGCTTGGCACTACTAGCCGCTGCTGAGCAGCGACTTTTTTTCTTCTCTTGACAGGGCCTTGGCTCACAGGAATTGATGTCGGATGGGGAATCTTTGGTACCCGAACAGGGGGACCGTTGGGTGAGGCAGGTGGTGGAGAAGGAGGGCGAAGAAGAACCTGGCTACCTTGTGGATAGTAATAGTACGAGCCAGGGGGGGCCATGAGGCCCGAGTGAGATGAGTGGGAATCACCATCAAGTCTGGAGTTGCCTCCACTGACCGGCTGGAAAAACTGGCTTGATGTGCCTTGAGTGTGTTGTGCCGACGGTGGCTTCTCCTCATCCACTGTGAAAATGGATGCAAAATAGCAGATTCGTGAGTGGAATAATAGGACATTTATAAGAGGTACTCGACATTATTATATATATCGCTTTCTAGTACACTCACTTGAGATTTATTAAAAAATTTGTCGAATTGTGGTAACCAAACGAAGGCAAGTCAACCGTTCTGAATTAAAAGCAGAATTGTCCTGGTATATTTATTTTTATTAACTTTGCGAAAAAACGTGAATTCTATTTTCTGAATTCTTATAATAAAAAAAATAAATATTTTTATACTTATCCTCGAAATATTAATTCCTTGCTGAAAGCTTGTTAAAATTGTCGATCTCCAAGAATTACCAAGTTTATTTTCTGTGTGCATTACTTACTCTATTCAGTCCTATAAATTGCTAAGTTTATTAGACATATGAAGGTATAAAATATATACATTAACTCCCTGCACATTTGCATACTAAATGTATTAATGGCATTAAATATACGCTAGCACACCTGTAACTAGGTATTCAAAATGTATTGTTTAGAATGCTACAAATAGGTTGTTTAGCCATGTTATAGGAAGATTATCATGGTGATTTAATTACTTTTAGATATTCAGTTCAATATTTTAAATAATAACAAGTGATAAAATATATTTGAGTTTATAATCAAAACGTCTATTATTATCAATAGTCAGATTAAAAAGCGATCAACTAGGCTAAGTCCGTCTTTTAGTGAATATTTTCTTACCCTGAAGGCGAAAGTCCATCATGGATTCATTCTGGTTGCAGGAATGCTTACAATTTACTTGCTCCATAAAATCATATTTAACGAATCTTTCAGCACCAGGTGAGGCAAATAAACGAACAACCCAAATTAAAATAATTGAATAGGCCCATTAATAGAATCTTCCTAGTCCTACTTCTCTTCGAATGTGCTAATGCCTATAAGGCTGAAGGTTAAAGCAAATGTTACATTTGGCCTTAATGTTTAACTCAGCTAGTTTTGTTTATGTATGATTGAATTTATAATATGAGTTTCTCTTCATACAAATATTTCCATCAAATGAAGCAATAGAAATACAAATAAGACGATGTCAGTACTAGAGCAAAGAGAGAAATACTAATAATGAACTGATACAAATGACACTAAAATGGGAAAATAAATATTACTGTGCAGAACCTTGATGAGTGCAAAAAAATTCATTTCCATTGAAAAATAAAGTTATATATAATCGTTACTGTGGAAGAGAAGATAATTTAAAGATTAATTGGAAAATGGAGGGGAAAGCATCAATTGAAGATAAAGAATTAGATAAATAAACTTATTTCAGAGGACAGACTGATAACTAAGCTAAAATATTCCAAATAACTTCAGCTGCAAAGTGCAACTAAGTAAAATAAAATAAAGAGTGATGCTTGAGAATATGAATGAGCATACTCAATTTGTGTGTTTTAAGGAAATGAGCATGCCCTTAAGGTCTGTTGGCATGTAAGGATACATTTAGCAACATTCAGACAGTTTCAAACACAGGAAGCCTTCTATAGAATTGGTCCTTAAACTGAGGTGCAGGCAAATCAGTATTAACTTAAGATGAGTAAAGTTCAAAGTAAATAGGCTCCGTAAATTTTTGGCAAATTAATCTTTGTATGTCATTCCAGCATATTTTGCTAAAGATTGTGCATGAATGATATACATGCCACTGTATTTCTCAAACCTTTAGTTCATTCCTTATTTATGCAATTTTTTAAAGATTAAACAATTTACACATGTTTTATATTATTTTTCAAACGAGAGGAAGGGCGTAAGCTAGAATCAAATAGATATAATCAAGCTATGAATACCGAAATGGTGTGGTCTTCCGTATTGTCACGGTCTCATTTCGCTATATATAAGTTGTTTGAACTTGTTCTGACAATTTGATCATATTGGCAGGAAAACCTAGAGCAACGCACCTTGTTCCGAGTCTCTAGTATGTATGTTACTTTTCAGAGTCAGACCGTGGACTTGGCAAATGCATTAATGTTTGCAGGTATCGTAGATGGTGCCATCAGTGGACCTTACCACCCTTAGCACAACACTATAACTCGTCAAAGATATAATTTTATTCGAAAATGTGAGACATGCAATATTAAGATAATATTGCACCATATAAAAATCAGGTCCCAAAAGTTACTATGTTCTTCGACGGTTTCAAAGCAGTGGTTTACATCCTACTTAATATGTTGCTATGATTGCCCTAGATCCAACATATTCATGAATGCGTGGTACATTGAATCCAATTAAACATTTAAACTAAATATACATTTATGAATCGCAGATATACCATAATTTCTTAAAT